TAGCACAGATGTTTGTATTGTTAGGGTTTGTGGCATAGGACTCTACTTATTCCCAAGTGTTGTCTGCTGTAATTTTGAGCAACTGACACAGGCCGCTGGCCTATCCTTTATCTTAGAACTGAAGTATCCAGTAAGTGCTGCTGAGTATCCTGCCAGGCAGCTCTTCCCAGTCATCAGTCACTTTCCTTCTTCCAGCAGTCCTGAAAGTCTAACAGTGTACTGCTTACAGTTCTGCAGCTCCTGTGGTTTCTGCTTAGTTCTAACCAAAATAGTAAAAACTCCAATTTTTTTTTTTGAGACAGGGTCTCACTATGTAGATCAGGCTGGCCTCAGAGATCAGCCTGCTTCTGCCTCCTAAATGCTGGAATTAAAGTATGTATCACCACACCCAACAAAACTCCAAATTTTTTATCTAATTTAGATAAATGAAATAAAACAATAAAAAGTATCTATTCTAAGCACAATTCCATTTTTAAACCTTAAATCTCTTTTTTTTTAAAAAATATTTATTTATTATTATGTATACAATATTCTGTCTGTGTGTGTGCCTGAAGGCCAGAAGAGGGCGCCAGACCTCTTTACAGATGGTTGTGAGCCACCATGTGGTTGCTGGGAATTGAACTCAGGACCTTTGGAAGAGCAGGCAATGCCCTTAACCACTGAGCCATCTCTCCAGCCCCCAACCTTAAATCTCTTAAGATTTCCTCAACCCCAAGCCCTTGAGTGAAAGCTTTTACTTCACAGTACATCTCTAGGGAACCCTGGTTGAGCCACAATGAAGTGGGACCTCTTTTCCACGCTCCAAAAGCCCAACATCAGAGACAAATAATAGTGCATCTAAACTGGAGGCTGTGTCAGGCTGTACAAGTCCTTGAGAACAAGGTGTGACGTCAGTCTTGACTACAACCTCTAGCTTCTAGTAGTTACTTGAGGCACGCGTGGCTGTATATTTAACGAGGTTTTCAAGGAATAAATGTTGAAGTGGGCAAGTCTTATTCTGTATCAGTTTTACCTTTGGCTGTCACTGAAACTTTTAAATCGTTGTTGACAACTTACATTCTTTGTCAACTGATTCTCACAACACCACGAGATAGGTTCTAAACTCCCCTTACTTTTATGAATGAAGAAACAGGTGTGGCAGTTAACTACTCATCCTGTAAACAAAAGAAGGGGCTGAAACTCTAACTCCAGATTCAAAATGCAGTGTTTCGGTCTCTGTAATCCAGACACTTCCTGGGTATGACTATTCAGATGGTGAGGAGCCCCTCTGGGACACTCTAAGCCTCCCACCGTCACACTTTCCATTACTGTAAAAGCTCCCGTGGTTCTTGCACTGTCTTATCTGGCTGGCAGGCAGGCAGAATGCACCCCTCCCTATCGCCTTTTCCATCTGCTGACCACCCATCCCACCCCCACTGCTGGCAATTTCAAGTGGGAAGGCGCTCTTCAGTTAGCTCTTAAACAGACAACATGCATCTCACATAGAAATTTATTATTTAATATTTTGTGGGGGTTTTTTTGGGGGGGGAGAAAGGGTCTCGCTAAGTAGCCTTGGCTGGCCTTGAACCTATGGGAAGTCCACTTGCCTCTGACTTCTGAGTGTTGGGATTAAAGTCATGCACCCTCACACTCTGCTATCCTTTAACTTAATACTCATTATATTTTGCAGTGCTGAAGGTTGAACTTAGGGCCTCAAGCAGGATAGACAAGCACTCTACCACTAAGTTATACCTCCAGTCTTGAAGCATGATTGAGAACAATTTATATTCACATAGTAGTGTTCTAAAAAAGCGTGTCCTCAACACCCTCAATTAAATTTGTATGCATTAAATTTGCATGTATTGTTTTCGGGCTTTATTAGAAAACCAACTTCACAGCTCATCTTTCTTGAATACACCAGGTTAAGTAAAACGCACCTTAAATATATGAAATGCCAAATGTGAGTAAAATTTAGGCCAGAATCTTTGCAGTGCCCCCACACATACTGTTAGTCCTTCCCATGTCATAACCTACAACAACACAGTCATTAATGTCCCTTTCGTTCTGATTTCCTTCCTATCATGTTTGTCTGCAGCTTTGGATGCTGATCAAGAGGAAGCCGCACCATCACAAAAAGACACAGGGATATCTCGGCAGTGGTTTTAGAGTCAAGTATACCCACTCATTCCAACGGTAAGGTAGGAAGCTCTCTATAAATGAAGGGTTTAGCCTGCATATATCAACCAGATAATGGATTGATCGCAACACTTGCAAAGGATGAGAGGAAGCCCACCAAGGTAAACTAAAACAGCAGCCCTATTAAACATAAAAACTCACACGTTACTAAATTATAGAATCTGACATCAGCTCAATGCAAAAACCCTCCCTCCTTTCCTGCTCCCTGTCAATTTTCACCAATCTGAGCTCTGAAAAGAGAACAGGAGCCTATGAACGGGAACAGGCCAGAGCAAGGCACAGGCAGCAGCAATTGCTCAGATGCTGCCTTCATATTAGTAAAGCAAGGAACGGACTGTTCAGTTATCATCTCTGGGGAGTGGGAGTCACAGCAGCTTCCCTATTTTGTATTTCATGTACTTTAGTACAGGTTGAATTTTTAAAGATCATGCATTTCTATCATTGAAACAGGATTCCACCCAGCACTCAGGAGGCAGAGGCAGGTGAATCTCTGAGTTTGAGGTCAGCCTGGTCTACAGACTGAGTTCCCAGGACAGCCAGGGCTACACAGAAAAAAGAGAAACTTCAACTCAAAAAATAAATTAATTTAAAAAAAAAAGGAAGGAAAGAAGGAAGGAGGGGGATTCCTTCCCACTTTAAGGAAAAATGGACAGAAATAAGCTAATTATGCTCACAGAAGAACATATGAAAGAACAGTAAAGCATTTCCACTATTTTATTAACAGAGACACTATCATAAGGAACCATCAAAATTACGATAGAAACCAAAGTGAACCCTGAAGCAGATGTTTCACAGGTCCACCCAAGACAAAAGACTGCAGTCTAAAAATATTACTTAGCATTTCTATCATAAATGTCCCATCCCCTACCCCTTGGTTTAGGCAAAGATATAGTCTGTCCTGGCTAGAGAGGAACACTAACCCCCCCCCCCAAAGGGCAGCAATACTTTTTCCTTAATGTTAAAAATTTAAAAAATGGTGTTGCAAGAACACTGGACACACAAAAAGAAAAAAAAAAAAGAACACTGGACACTTTGAAAGGGGCCTCATTGTACCAGAAACTGACAAACTTGGAGAGTGAGGAAGCAGGAGGCACAAAGCTGCAGCTACCACGAAATCAAAACACAAGGTCATGAGCAGGCTTGGCAGCACAAACCTTTAATCCTAGCATGGTGGAGGCAGAGATGGGTACACCTCTCCGAGTTCCAGGCCAACTTGGTCTAGAGTTCTAGGTCAGTCAGTGCTACAAGATGAGACCCTGTTTCAGAAAACAAAACAAATAAAACCCACAAAGTCACAGGCCTGTTATCCCAACACCAGTGAGAGGCTGGAGCCGGAGGATAGAAAGCTAAGGCCAGTCCTGGGCCAAAAACCAAAGTCTAACTTAAAAAAAAAAATCAAAACAAAATTAAAAAGTCAACATGGTGCTGCATGCCACTAATTCTAGCACTTAAGAGGCAGAGGCAGGCAGATCTCTGAGTCTGAGGCCAGCCTGCTCTACAGAGCACACACAGAAAGAGAAGAACAGGAACACACACACATGGTCAAGAAGCTATGCTTATGCCCCAGTTAAAAATGGGCTCTTTTCTGACAATGATGTACCCACCACAAGCACTGGTTCAAAACAAGAGTGCTCCTGATGTTAGAAATTGGAAGAATTTGGTATCATGAAAACTGAGACTTTGGTTTGTTTGGTTTTTTTCTAATTATGTGTTTGTGGGGGAGGGGTATGTGCACAGGAGTTCCCTGGAACTGGAGTTACAGGCAGTTGTGAGCTGCCTGATAAGGGGGCTGGGAGCCAAATTCGGTTCCCCGGAAGAAAACCAAGTGCCATTAACCATTGAGCCATCTCTCTAGTCGCAAGTTTTTTTTTTTTTTTTTTTTTTTAAAAAGTCCAGGCCAAGTCCAGGTTAGCCTCCAACTCCCAATCCAGCCTCTAAAGTGCTGGGATTATAGGCATGCACAACCACACCCTGTAAAATTTTGGTGTCAATAGTGAAATGCTGTTGTTAAAATGGTTGTAAGATGCTATAACCAACATTGTACTGTGGAATTCCTACTTATTAACCTTTGGAAAGACATTTCACCTCTTCCCCGCTTTAGTTCCATCTATTTCTTTAAGAGGAAGAACCCCGCGCAGCTCCTAATGCCACTCAGTGTCGCTGAGACTTTGGGAGATAACAGCAAGTGATTCAAAAGGGAAGTTTACGGTTCTGGGCAACCGACCGGCCATCACTCAGGCTTCAAAATCCTGCACCTCCATCTAGATCACATCCATTGGAGGTGACAAAGTTAGAGAATCTATTTTATACCGCTTTCAAACCAAGGTTGCTTTAATGTTATCATAAGAACTACATCGTTTCCCCAAAACTCCTTCAAGGTGCCTCGAACTTCGGCTCAAGACGTTAACTTTAAGTTGTCTTATGAACACAAAACCAGGCTTGGTGGCTCATGCCTTTCAACCCAGAATTTAGGATTTCCTAAGGTAGACAGACGTCCAAGCGAGCCTGGGCTTACCTTGCCAGACCGTGTCTCAAAAAAAAAAAAAAAAAAAAAAAATGCTTGGAACGCTTTGTGGATTCCAGTGTCAAAGGGAAAAATGTTGCCGCAGCGATACATACAGTACGGAGCTACATTCTGACCAGTGGAGAATCTACGTGTACCTTCACAGCGACAGTCGACCCGACTCAGGAACACGATCACGTAAATACAAATACTCTAGCCCCAGAAAACAAGGACTTTCATTAACCTGCTCCTGACGCGTCCGGAGTTGGAAAATGTCTTGTCAAGCCCTCCGATCACGTGGACGCGAGGCTCAGGTGGAGAGGCAGCCGGGGAGCGGCAGCTGAGCTCAGACCCACGCCGGCACGCTCCAGCCGCAAGGACTCCCGATCGCCACCCAACTCGCTCACCGCCTCTCCCAGAACTTCTACTTGTAAGCGCCCACCACTGGAGGCAAAAAGCACTTTCTTTTCGGGAGTCGGGGATGAAAGGAAAAAAAAAAATCTCGTCCACAGAAAAATCCCCAGCCCCCCGAGACCTACCACTTTTGACCCGAACAAAAAGCGTGTGTGCTGACGAGAGGGGGTGGGAAAGAGCGAAGCAGGAATCCGCGCGGCCCAGCCGCCTCCTCCCTCGGAGCGCGCCCAAGTCTGCGGCCTCCGGCTCCGGGACGCTCCCCTCCCACCGACAGCCCGGCCGCAGCTGGAAGTTAGCGAAGCGCGCTCCGGGCCCGTCAATCAAGCGCGGCCTCCCGCCTCCACCTTCCCTCCCCCTCCCCCACCCCAAAATAAAATAAAAGGAAAAAGAAGTAATTTGGGAAGTCGTCTGGAGAGGGGATTCGTCCCGGACCCGGGGAGGCCGCGCGCACCGGACTGACCGCCGGCACCGAAGCAGGCGGGCCGGCTCAGCAGCCCCCCCACCACCGGATCCTCGCCGCGCGCCCTCCGCGCTCCGGCTTCCCCCGCACCGGTCGCCGCCGCCGCGGGCCACGCACTCCACGCCAGGCCCGTGGCCCGGCTCGGGTCAAAGTTGCGCAAATCGCTCCGACGACTGGCAGATACTCACCGGGCGCGGCGGGACGCGCGGCTGCGGAGGTTTTCGGGAGTTTCGAGCGGCGGGGCCGCGGGGTGAGCGGGCGGGCCGGCGGAGGCGAGGGGCCGCGGGCTGCAGTTGACGGCGCGCGGCGCTCGGCTGGGCTGCGCCGAGACACTCCGGCTGTGCCAGGGACTGCGCTGCAACAAAGGACTTCCGCTGCCGCACAGCCGCGCCTGCCGCACCGCACTGAGCCGGCCCCGCTTACGCGGCGACTCCGGGTCTGCCCACCAGTTCGCCGCGGCGTCCGCCAGCCTTCCCCTCCCTCTCGCCCGCCCACCCACTCCGCCGCTGGCGGCTAGGGGCACCCGCGGTCGCCTGTTGGTTGCAACAAGTTTCTGCGTCGGGGCCGAGGAGGCTGGCACTGCCCGCAGCGGCGCGGGCGCCCGGGCGGCGGCTGGAGCAGCACTCTCGCCCCTGTCCCCTGGGTCGCCTTGGCCCTCCTCCTGTTTGCACAGCTGGACGCCGCTGGGATCCTCCCGACTCCCCCCCGGGGGCTGGATGCTGCTCGCCTGTGCCCAGATATCAGACCCCTGCCCCGCAGGGCCCCGCAGTTGGGCCCGCCCCCGCGCTCCACCCTGGACGCTCTGGGGGCGCTGACACCCTCGTCCCGTCCCGCCTGAAGCTCGTCCGCTCGGGGTCGCCCGTTCCCCGCGCCCCTCCACCCCTCCTCGCGCGGGCCCGCCGGCCTGTGGCCTGAGTCACTTCCCCCGCCATGCCCCGCCCGGCCCGCCTCCTGCCCAGGCTCCCGCCGCGCGCGGCTGCCTGCCCCGCGCCCTCACCCCGCTCCCGCCCCAACCGCCGGTGCATCCCTTGCCCGTCCCCACCCAGGGCCGAGGGGGGCACCCGTGCTTTTGCACACGCCAGGGGGAAAGTCCCCGGGGTCACGCGGAGGCGTGTAGGGGAGCCTGTGACGCTCAGGCTTGTCCCCACACTTCCGCCTCCAGTCACGACTGGGGGACCGTGGCAGAGGCGCCCGAAGCGCTCGCCGACCCCCGCCTGGGCCACTCCGGCAGCAGGCGCGCACGTACGCACGCACGCGCTGCACACTAGTCCGGGTGCCGTCGGCTCCCCCGGCAGCCAGGTCACGTGGGCCCGGCGCGGGAAGCCGCGCGAGAGCAGCCCGCCGGGTGCGTGAGCGGGCGCTGGCGCGTGCTGTGCGCGGCGCAGCGCGGGAGCCCGCCCCCCCCGCACGGAGAAGCCCGCCCGCCCGCCGCCGCGGCGGAGTCTGGGTAAGCTACGCGGCCCTGCCCCCGTGGGGCTGCTCCGGGCTCAGTCCCTCCCGCCGCGAACCGCCCCGGGCGGCGGCTGCAGCTGCACCGGTCGCGGGACAGATGCAAGTAGCCGGGGACAGGGGTGTTTTTGGTCCGTTGGAGATGTCAGTCAGGGCCCCGGAGAAAATTAGCAACGGCGAGCGAGTGCTGGGCGCGCGGCGCCTGGAGCCGCCCTTGGCTGTGGGCCGCCGCCGGGGCCTAACGCAGGCGGGATGGCGCGCGCGGGCTCTGCACAGCCTTGGAGCCCAACCCGCTGCGGGCCAGGTTCCGGCCCGTCAGTGGATGGTAGCTCTGGGCGACCACGCCAGGCCTACGGCTCTAGCTAGTGGGCGGGTATCCTGATCTGGCTGCGCAGCCATCACTGTCCCCTCCCCCATCCAGTTTGTGAGTACCTAGTTTCTAAGGCAGGTAGCCCTCAACCCTGATCAGTTATTTTTCCCCCACGTGTTTTATTATAGCCAAATGCATTTTTCTTTTTTGGAGTCTTCCCCCATCTTCTCACCACCTCCCTAGCACTCGATTGGAGAAATCAAGCCGTTATCAGTTGCTTAGGAGACGCACAGCGCTGTACCTGGAACCTGATAGCTAGTGTTGTGTTTTATAAATTAGCTCCCGTATCCCTCTAAGGGATTGAACCTGGCGTTCTAGCAAGTCCTTTAAAAGCTGCGGAGCTGTTGATTGACAGGATTAAAGTACATCTTGGAATCTGGGTTTTCAGAACTGAAAGGGACCTTAAGTAAAATGGAGTTCATCCCTCTGATTTCACAGAAGACACCGGACCTAAAGAGCATAGTGTTGCTTAATCAAGATAATCAAGGTGCAGCCCTTTCAGGGTTAGGCTTTAGGGCTGCAGACACTTTTTGTGCCAGGACGGCAGTGCATGCTGGTTCATCCTGCTTCGTACAGTGTATCCCCCCAGAAGTGATTGCACTTGCCTTGCAGGACTTCTCAGATTGATTGGAAAGTTCGGCCTGGCTATTGCGATGGCTCTAGAGAGTAGCGGATAGGACCGTGTTTCTGGGTGAGTTGTACGGCAGTATATTTTGGAGCCAAAATCTCATTTCCTCTTCTACACCCCCAACACCAATTCAACTTTATTATACTCACGGGGACAAGCCCTGACACTTACCTATTTTGTTTTTTCAGACTTAGCGTCTTGGTATATAGTCCAGGCTAATGTAGAATTGGTGATCGGCCATCTTACATCAGGTTCCTGGGTGCAGGGACTACAGGTGTATGCCACCTTGTCTGACCACCCTTTCTTCTTTAGTTTAGGCAGCAGCAGTCTTTCAGCAGCCGGGGTATGTTTTAGTTAAGATCAGATCAGTGAGCCACTGCCAGCCAGTGAGATAGTCATGAAATATTTCAGGTGACTGGGGTGTAGTTAGTAAGTGGTGAAAACATCGGGGGTGGACAGCAAGAAGAGCCCCCCCACCACACACACACACACACTAGACACTTGTGCCCAACCCTATAATGATGGTTTGGTTTTTTTTTTTTTTTTTTTAGCTATAAATGACTTGTTGTCGCTGTTTGTTTAGTTTCATAGTTTCATATGTTAACCTTTGCCAGCTGTTTTCATAGGTGAATTCCCTAAACAGATGGTATTGTGTCCGTGTTACACGTGTTTTAAGCGTGCAGAAAGGAACCAGAGAGACGTTCTGACTGTGGTGCTGGTCATTTGCAGAGGAATGTAAGCCTAGATCACTTATCTTCTAAGTCTAGTCAGTGCTCCTTTGCCTTGTATCTTGCTCCCACTTCAAGCTGGGAAGGGGGATGAGAGAATCGCCTGTGGCTGATTTATTGGCGCCTGTGGTTGCCCAGAGAAGCCAGGCAGGACTTTCAGCTGCCCTCTGTGCCTCACAGAGTGGGGCTATGTACTTCCACCCTATCTCCTGAGGGGAATGCAAAGGAGCCAGGCTGTCTAGCTGGAAGGAGGGGCCCAAGTGGCTTGGCAGTAAAATATCCTGACCATGGCTGTGCTGCTGGGAAGTGTTGCATAATGCCCACCCTCCCCCCACCCCCACTGACCTGCAGTGATTTATTCCTTGCTAGCTGTAGGTGGTGTTTGACCAATTGGTCCATTTTTGTAGTAACAGCTAGCCAAGCGTTGGGAGGTTGTATTATTGTAGATTTCCCTGAGAAGAGCAGTACAGGTGTTCTTATCTTGATGACTTGTAAAGTAGTTCTGCACCACTTCCTGTGCCCCCTTTCTCCTTTCTGCTTATTTATTCCCCAGAGCATGTGGGCCTGAGGCCTCAGAGAAGGCTGAAAAGAAAATACTGCTGCAGTTGGTCTGTAGACTAGCTATGAACTTAGATACTTTGATCTCTCCCATCTGTTAGGTTCCTCAATCCTTTTTCTCTTGGCTGACCAGCTGGTTTGTCAGTTAAGAGCCCTTACTGTGCTTGTAGGGGACCCAGGTTTGGTTCCCAGCACCCATGTGGTGGCTAACACCATCTGTAACTCCAGTTCCAGGGGATCTGGTTCCTTCTTCTGGTTTCCACAGGCTCCTGCACACATATAGTTTACTTGAATTCATGCAAGTACATACATAGAATATGTTCTGCCATGACTGGTGCACATAAAAAGGTGATGAACACCTTTTTAATCCTAGCACATGGGAAACAGATGCAGGTGGATCTCAGTGAGTTCAAGAACAGCCTTGTCTACATAGTCAGTGCCAGGTCAGCCAGAGCTACATAATAAGCCCTGCTCACTCCCACCCAGCACCCCAAAAAAGTAGAGGAAAAAGTATCTAAAGCTAATATGTGTTATGATTACTAGATGATTTTGTTTATACTTGGTTATGCTCTGGGTATTAAACATAACAAGATTGGCATCTTGTGAATGCTAGTCAAAACCTCTACTACTGAGCTATATCATTTCTTCAACCCTTTGTTGGGCTTGTTTTCATTTTATTAAACCGTTTTCTTCTCTATTAAAAAAAATATATTCAGGCCAGGCTGTGGTGGCACATGCCATCAATCCCAATACTCGAGAGGCGGAAGCAGGCGGAGCTCTGTGAATTTAAGACCAGCTTGGTCTACAGAGTGAGTTCCAGGACAGCCAAGCAGAGAAACTGTGTCTTGAAAACCAAAAAAAAAAAAAAAAAACAAACCCACCTTATTTAGGAAAAATGTTTTTATAGTGGTAAATTTTTAAAATTTTCCTAGTTCATTGCTTTCCTAGTTATAGATCAAAACCATCTTTTATTGTGAGACACGAGGCTTTTTAGCAGAGGATCGTTTAGCCGGTGTGGGCCCACATGGGTAGTGTGCTCATGGAGCTGTAACTCAGACAGGAAATGCTGCTGTAGGTACGCACAGAGGAAGTGCTGGTGTAGGGACGTAGAGGCTGTAGCCCTTGACTAGGTCTGTTCTAGTTTTAACATCTTTAACTTTCTTTTGTTCTGTTCGGAAGGGGTCTTTAATAAAGCAAGAAGAGTCATATCCTTTTCTTCCTATATTAAGATTGTATTTCCAAGATCTGTTGGCTTGGTGCTTTATCAGGCGTGCATGCACACGCATACCATGTTAAGAGATGAAAAGGCCGTTGTCTGCCTCAAACTGTCCTGGCAAAGCTTTTTAGAATGTAACTGTATCATGCACTATGTCTCCTCTAAGATTCTCTGTAAATTTGTGTAAGTGAGATGTGTAGGGTTTACGACAGGTTCTCATCTGAGACTGTATTTTCTGACCTCAAACTCACAGAAATCCACCTGCCTCTGCCTCCAGAGTGCTGGGATTAAAGGTGTGCCACCACCACCCGGCCATAGATGCTTTTCAAAAAAAAAAAAAAAATGGAAATAGTGCTGTCTTTCCTCTTTCTAACCATCCTACTGTTGGTTAGTTTAGATCATTTCTGTTTCTTTTACTTGGGTGTGTATGTCTGGGTGTGTCCATGTGAGGTCTAAGGTTGATGGGTGTCTTCCTCAGTTTCCTCCCCTTATTTTTTGACTGTCTCTCATTGAACTTAAATGAGCTCACTGACTCATCTAAGCTGGCTACAGTGAGCTCCAGGGATTTGCCTGTCTACCACTAGAACACTAGGAGTCCAGCTGTATATCGCTATACACATTTTAAAGAAATACTATTTTTAATTTTTACTATGTGTGTGTGTGTTCTACATGAGAGTCCAGTCCCCTTAAGTAGCAGGTGTAAGATCCCCTGGAGTTGTAAGCTTCCTGGTGTGGATGCTGGGAATCGAACGCAGATCCTCAGGAAGAACAGTACTGTCTTTTAACTGCTGAACCATCTCCCCAGGCCTCACCAAACAAACACATTTTTAATTTTTAAAAAAAGCTTTTAAAAATGTTTTGTGTATGGCTGTTTTGCCTACAAATACATCTGTATACAGTACACTTGGTGCCTATTGAGGCCAGAAGACAGTGTTAGATCCTTAAGTGACGATGGTTGTGAGACAGTGTGTGCTCGGGGAACTAAACTAATGTCCTCTAGAGAGGAACAAATGCTCTTAACCACTAAGCCATCTTTCCAGCACCACACACACACACACACACACACACACACACACACGCACGCACGCACACATGCACAGTGCATGCCAGGGTGCACCGTGTACACTGGTTGTTTGAAGAAAGAAGGCACTCCAAGATGAAATTTTAAGGCCTACGTGGCAGCAGGAAGGTCCAGCCTCCCTGAGGGACTGAACCCTAAACAGCCATACAAAGGTGTATTGATTGATTGTTACACGAAGTATTTTCTCATACCAAGGTCCCTAATCTGATTTACGTATTATATAAAGGACAGCATCGCGTACGCCCATGACTCTTGTCCTTTATTATGTATCGTTTGCAATACACATAATACAGGAGCCTCAGGTGTGCCAGACGTGTCTTGTGACCCAAACTCATTGGCTGGCTGCAATGCCCCTTCAGCAAAACAATTCTGCTATCTTGGAAAACAATCGCTTTTCCACAAAGATTCTCCAAGGTCGAAGTACTTCTAAAAACCAGCTGTTCATTCTGCTGTCCACCCCGAACAGTGACTCTGCCAACTTCTCACAGCATCTTGGGGATCTGAATCCAGGTCCTCGTATTTGAGTGGCAGACACTTCACTGACTGAGTTATTAACGCAAGTCCTCTGCTTTTTTTCTTTTTGAGATAGGTTTTCCTAAGTGCAGGCCTCAGACTTCCATGAGCTAGAATTACAGGTGTGTGCAACATATATAACTTTCTTTTTTTTTAAATTATTTATTATGTATACAATATTCTGTCTGTCTGTATGCCTGCAGGCCGGAAGAGGGCACCAGACCCCAATACAGATGGTTGTGAGCCACCATGTGGTTGCTGGGAATTGAACTCAGGACCTTTGGAAGAGCAAGCAATGCTCTTAACCTCTGAGCTATCTCTCCAGCCCCCATATATAACTTTCTTAAACTCCTAAAGCTTTTAGTTTAGAGTCACATTTAGAATAATTGTTGGTATGTATTTATCTAATAGAATTGATATAATTCTTTGAAAACTTATGAAATAGTTTCAGTTTTCTTATTTTGCTTATGTGTATGTGCATGTTCCTATGAGTTGTGTGCACTACAGAGTGTGTGCACTACATGTGTGAAATGCTTTTCAGGGTCTCCTTAGCTTCTTGTTCTTCTAAAGCAAAGGTTACCTAAAGTGTCTGCTAGAATCTCCTGGGAAGTTTCTTTTTAAAAAGGGCTTGCAGAGAGAGGTAGGTAGGTGTGTGTGTGTGTGTGTGTGTGTGTGTGTGATGGCTCAGAAGGTGAAAGCATTTGCCAGACAGCCTGGGTTTGATCCTTAGAACCCCCATGAAAGGAGAGAAATTATTCTATTCCGACATCTACATACATATTGTAACATGTGGGTTTGTACTCACAGATCATACAAACAATAAAGATTTTTAAATTTATGTGTATGGGTGTTTAGCCTGCACATAGTATGTAACATTTATATAGTTCTGTAGCATTTGTATAGTGCCGATGGAGGCCAGAAGAAGGCATTGGCTCCCATTGGACTGGAGTTATGGACAGTTGTTAGCTGCTATATAAGTGCTGGAATCAAACCCAGCTGAGCCATCTTTAATAATACTAATTTTAATTATTTATTTTTAAAACTAAGTGGTCCGAGGACAGCTCTCTGGAGTTAGTTCTCCTACCACCTTGTAAGATATGGGAATTGGGCACAGGGTGTCACATCTGTGCACATAAGCCTCTATCTACTGAGCAGTCTTCAATAAAATGAAATTAAAGTCTTAGAGCTCAGCACCAGCAATTCTTGGGGTTATTTTGTGATAGGACTTCCCCATCTGTCCAGCTCTGCACAGTCTGTACTGTGTGTAGTCAGTGATGGATTCACTGTCCCAGGAGAAAATTATTTCTATACATTCTTTCATTCTTGTTGGGAATAATGGTTATGCTTATGAGCCCACTGTTCAAAAACTTGAGGCAAGAGAATATAGAGTTCAAGGTTAGCCTGGGCTACATAGTAAATCCCAGATCAGTCTAAGCTACAGTGACATCTTGTCTCAGAATAAAACCAGATGAGTTCATTCATTTCTTAAATAACCAAATGTCACATAGCCACAATAATCTAAAAATGATTACCATTTTACAATTACCAAGTTACAATCAGTATAGAAAGCCTTTATCATGTAACTCTAGAGATTTTTTTTTAACCTTTGTATTTATAGCCATGAGTAAGTAGCTCAATA